TATATTATATTATATTATATTATATTATATTATATTATATTATATTATATTATATTATATTATATTATAGGGACTATGTCATTAGAATAACTGCTTCAAGTCTGTCATGTCTCTTCAGTGTCTTTTAATTGATGTAATTGGGTCTCCAGCTTCTAAATTAATCTCAGGCTTTACTCTGTGTGCTTATTCCTGCCCATTCTGCTCGTTCGCTTCCAGAGACAAAACGCAAGGTTAGATTTTACACCACAGTCTCCACTCCCGTACAACAACAACGTTGTGTGTGCCCCCGTCTGTGTGCTGCTTATCTATGAAAATGATTCATGCAACTGTTTGCAAACATGTCCATAAGTGATTCCGAGTGCTGATTCATCTCGACATAAGTGAGGGGAGCGGAGTTCAGCAGTTGACAGCTAGTAATAAAAAAACTAAACAAAACGGTTGCTATTCTTGAGGAAAAAAGGCTAAACAGAACAGAGTGTGAAATTCCGTTCCTTGAGAGGCGCTGCCCTGCAGGTTTTGTATGTTCCCATCGTCCTGCACACCTGAACCAAATCAAGGAACCATTAGCGGGCTTTGGCTGAGCCTAATAATGTTTTGAAGACATCCGTTTAATCTGAATCAGGTGTTTTGTAGCGGAGAAAACACCTGAAACTTGGATTTTGACATCCCTGGAACAGACAAAGGTGCTCTGCGTGGTTAGATTATTATTCTCCGGGAGGCGCAGCGACAAATAGCACTCTCATGAAGCTTTGTGACGGGAATGACAAGTAGGGATGTGTAAATATTTACCTTACAATTGTGAATCAAGTTCCTGAAATGGGAGGACTGGTTTTTCCCATGTGCGCCTCATAATTGTGTCTCTATGCGTCAAATTATGCGATTATTGCCAAAAGAGGCACACGCAGTTCATTTGAAAAATGGTAAATGTGCAAGATGTGGATTGAAACAAATAATGTAGCAGCCTTTCCCAGCTGAGAGTGTTAAGTTACATCCATGTGACTCTCCGCTTTGACTCCTGATGAGTCTGTTTGTGGACATACACGTCTGAAATGCCTTACCCAAAAAAGACATAAACAACATTTAGAAGGCCGGCAGACATGTGGAAAAACGTGGAATATGAAGATACTTGTTAAAAGCAAGTATTCTAAATGAAACCTCCTTTCCAAAGCCTGATTTTCCTGGCTTTGCGTGTAGCCCTGGAGGAGTCGTATTCTTCAGTTGTCATGTGGATGAACCCTACATTGCACTGAAGACATCAAACTCCTCACGCGAGGCGTTCGGTAGGCCTGCGGTCACGTTTGTTGACGCTGGCTGTGGGAGTCTGTGGGCTCACCAGATGAGGGGACGCTGATGTCTGGAGGGGGACGGGATGCTGACGATGACAAATAGCTGAGGCTAGCAGAGCATCCAGCGTCACACCGTGTGGTTACAAAATGGGACTCCCACCAGCTCAGGAGACTCGAGGTGCATTCCACCCGATCGGGATAAAAGGAGCTTCGATAAGGACCTCAGAACGCTGTTAAACAAGTACAAATGAGAGTTCGCCTGCATTCTTTGTGCTATATTGCACATTAAAGGCTGGATTGTTTTGCCAATGTCAACGTCGTCTAATGAGCATTAATGAGATATTTTTGCAGAATTCTGTTTGGAATTCATTGGATTAATCTCACATTCACACTCATTTTTCCCTCCAGAGCCTCCGGTCACCATCACCAAGCTGCTGGATGACGTTCACACCGTGGTGGGGGAGAAGGTGGAGTTCGAAGTGGAGGTGTCCGAAGAGGGAGCCAGCGTCAAATGGTGAGCCGGGGCCACGTCCAAGCACACCGGATGAGATGCGAATGCGTCATTTATTTCAATCTGTGCAAAAGCCATCAAATCCCTCGGAGTATCCAACGGATCCTGTGCAGTGTGGAGAGCCTTTCTGTGAGCCAGCAGTCAGGATGCAATGAAATGAGCGGCCCGGTCACAACTATGTTCGTTCCAAAGGTTCCACACATGAGTGTCCTTTTTTTCCTGAGAAATTTAAATCCATGGAAAGATGTCAGAGTTTTTATGGAAAACTGTGAAGATATGAAAATACACTTAGAAAGAGAAAACTGTTGCATCTTAGTAAGTTACTATGGAGTATTTACTTCAACATTTGCTGTTTTCACGGCCTGCACTTTGATTCTAATGCTCCTGCTCCAATTAGCCTAACTTGAACCTTAAAGATTCAAAATGAGGCTCACAAGGGTCTGCCTTATATTGAAATGAAGGAGCTGTTGACATCAAACATATTGGTCAAATCAACCTAACTCATTGGATTTAGCTGTAAAACCAGCTGACTTATCAGGTTTTTTATCTTTACTCCTGATGCAACGGCAGGATAAAATAGCCTCTGCAGGAATTCAGCGCCACAAAAGGATGTCAGACTCAGCCTTTGTTTCTCCAGCTGATGGGATAATGCTTTTATCACGATGCGTTTGTAAAGTCGCAGCATTTTTAGAGCAGATCGGATCGTGTGTGTTCAGCATGAGCAACATCCATGTCTTTCCAGGTTTAAAGCTTCAGGGTCAGCACACCCCTTCAGCTCTGCAGCCAGCTCTGCAACTCTGTGAAGTTTAATTGACGCGCTTGTGTTTTTTTTTTCTCCACAGGGAGAAAGATGGAGTTGAGCTGAACAGGGACACCGCGGGTTCAAAGTACAGGTTCAAAAAGGACGGGAAGAGGCACATTTTGATCATAAACGAGGCGACCAAAGAGGATATTGGAATGTACTACGCCTTCACCAACGGCGGGGAGTCAAAGGCAGAGCTGGAGGTGGAAGGTACTTTATTCCCAGCATGCCAAGATTAATCACCAAACAATCTGATAATGCACAAACAAACTCGAAAATACACCCAACTCCCTATAAATGTTGGCTTGAAGTGTTTCACCAATGTATCAGAATCAGAAATCACTTTATTGACCAAATGTAGAGAGTACACAGGGATTTCACCTGGCGACTATTTAAATAACACTCTATGAAGGATTTAAAAAGAAACGGATCCTCTAAGCCAGCACAGTAAAACCAGTCTCATTGGTAATGAGCTCCTTAAAGTTAACCAACACTAACAGACTCCCCAGTTAGGAACTTAAAGAAAATGTAATCTGGAGATGCTGATGTTTTCCATTCCGACAAGCGTGAAAAGCAATAAATTAGTCATTACTCGTGTCATAATTAATATTACTTCATTAATCCCTTGTATCAGTAGTTCATCGCACTATTCGTCACACTCATTTTCTTCTACACCTCCAACGCTGATATCTGGCATCAGCTATCATGCCGTCTTAGTCACTACACACTCGCGAGCCAGATGAGTCTCCTAATTGATTAAAGTGTGAGAAAACGTCTGTCTGTCCCGCTCACTTGAATGATAAGATAACTGGGAGCATCGCGCGTCTAATAAAAGTGACCGTGAACGTGGTGGTCAGCAGACTACGGTTTTCCACTCGCATGCTTAAACAGGCTGTATATCCCAAGGTCATTAAGGAAGTGGGCAGCTTTCATCTTTCTCCAGAAATTCTGCATAAATTGTTGAATTTACATCAGTAATAAAAATAATTCTAGCATAGAAAATAGCATTTGGATGTTAGGATGAAAATTATTTGTTCAAAAATGTTCATTTTTTGTACTGTAGAAAACTGGTGAACTCATGATTTCAGCAGTTTATTCAGTTCATTTAGCTGAGACTTGATAAACAATTAATTTAAAATTTACTGAGTTTAATAATACTTCATTAATCCATATCAGGTTTATTATTTTGATACCATAGTGATTTCTGCGGGTGAGAATATAGCATCCATCTGAATAATCTCCACTCTGGTCAGAAGCTGTCCATTACGCTGAGGATCTTTTCCAACATCCTTAAACAGAAATCTTCACAATCCCAAATATATTCCCCTACAGAGTCAGCCTTAGGGGTTTGTTCAATTCATCTGATCATCACTGGATTTCCAGTATAGTCAGCACACTGAGGCAGAGAAGCTCCAGAGGCTGGATGTTTGAAAGGGGTCAAGCATATTTGAGCCACTGGTACCAGTTAAACAAATCGGCTTTGTGATAATAAATGTAGCTAATAAATATATGCAATAAGACCTTCATGGTTTGTTTGATTGGCAACATAAATGAGCCATACAAAATGAATCAATATCCAAAGAAGAGGTCCACCAAATATAGCCTGATAGAGAATAACATTCAGAATAACACTATGATTTTAATGGGGAATGCTGATGTCATGTTGACCATCATAACAATTGTCATAAGAAGACATAAATAACTTTTAAAAAAAGGTAGGAAGAATGTTTAATGTTTTCCATTTGCCAGCCTCTGAGTTTGGCTTTTGCCTGTTTTTTCCTCCAGATAAGGAGCTGGAGGTCCTGCAGAGCATAGCCGACCTGACGGTGAAGGCGGCCGAACAGGCCGTGTTCAAGTGCGAGGTGTCCGACGAAAAGGTGACCGGCAAGTGGCTGAAGGACGGCGTGGAAGTCCAGGCCAGTGACCGCATCAAAATGACGCACACGGGAAGGTAGGGCCCCGCGTCGCTGCGTTTGGACTCGGGGAAGCTGCTGTTTTTGAAGTCACACATCAAGTTTCACACATTCAAACGGGCGGGCGCACACTCATGCCACACATGGCTCCACAAACCATTACCACAGGCTTCTCTTAGCGGTTTGACCCATTTTCCAGATAGGCTGCAATCTGTGAGGCTGCAACCTCTCCACTCGCTCCCACAAACACCCCCCCCCCACCTCCCCCGTGCGGCATAAAGCTCTGAAGCGTTTGGGGTTTCTCTCTGTAATCCCTCCATCAGAGCGGCCTTTGGCAGGAGAATGCCACGGCAACCGCGGTCGCACAAGGTGAAAGCCATTTAGCGTGTTTCTCAACTCCGCCACGCCGCCTCGCGGAGTGTGCGTTGCCAGGGCAACTGTCTTTTGCATAAATGCAGGTTATATCGAGTGATGTCTCCTTGGTAACATCTGGCAACGTCTGCAGGACCCACAAGCTGACGATTGATGACGTGAAGCCCTCAGACGCAGGAGATTACACCTTTGTCCCGGACGGCTACGCGCTTTCTCTCTCCGCCAAACTCAACTTCCTGGGTGAGATTGAAACACAAACACAGTTCATGTACAGTTCAGTTCAGTTCATTTGCACTGAAACTTAGCACATCAGTTCTGTGAGTAAAGCTGATTTTCTGTTTGTTTTTCCACCCCCCTCAGAGATCAAGATTGATTATGTTCCTAGACAAGGTACTATTATTATTATTATTTTTTCATATCAATGTCTTTTAAAACTGCTGTGTGATAAGACCGACATCAACATTGTTTGTAAAGGGGATTCATCAGTGGATCCTTAGTTATGGACATGACTTATATATAATATAACTCACAATATTACATCCCTACAAGTGGGCAAACATTAAATTTCCAACCAGCACGCGACAATCATCATATCTGGATACCTAACAGTCATACATGTCTTCAGGATATATGTTTTATTGCGGACTTCCTGGTTCCAACGAATATGCTGAAAACAAATCTTTGATTGACTTCAGTGGAAATTGGACCAGGATCCATAAAAACCCAAAAGGGTACATTAGTACATTTCCTAAAGCTGATAAACTTTGTATGAATGACGTACCCTCCTTTTGGACACTTTTGTGTGCTGTTCCTGCTCTTTTCAGGAGCAGAACACGCTTTTTTGGGGGGGAAAACTGGACTAAGTCCAGTGAGCTTGCCGGCATTCGGTGGCTTTGTGCTGCGATGATATCACGGTTTCCTGGCGCAGTGATTGATGCATTGAGCAAAATCAGCCCTTTAGCAGCTGCCATTACAGCGAAAATGAATCACAAGCTGTTAGTTTAGGATGTTGATCGGCCTGACAGCCAACGCTGCAGACACACAACTTGGAACCCGGGAGGATGGATCCTTTCATGCTCGGGTTTTTATGAATGTTATGAGAATCTAGGCTGCTTTGAAGAGTCGCTCAGAACGCCTTTCTATTAAAAACTAACTGCGTTCGCTCATGACGTGCAACATTCCTCAGAGCTGTCCCTGTTAGGAAAAAATGGAAACGACAAAGCCAATTCTAGTATTGCAGTTTTCCAAAGTGATTCTACTCGAAAACGACAACAAAACAAATATTCGAATGATAGTTTGACCGCCCTCGGAAGCTAATGCGCTCTCTCTCTGTGCCCGTTTTCTCTCTGTTCAAACGACGACATAAAAAGATCCTCCCAAAATCCACCTGGACACCAGCGGCGCCGGCAACAGGAACACCATCACGGTGGTGGCCGGGAACAAGCTGCGCTTTGATGTGGAGATCTCGGGGGAGCCGGCCCCCGTCGTGAGCTGGATGAGGGGAGACCAGGTGAGGACGGGCCGATGACTCTCATCCTTCATTTTTCACATATCCTGTCAGCAGTGTGGTCCATGTTATACCTGGAAACTGAAATGGGCCCTGTGCTGTGGAGTGTGGGGGGAGGTGGATCTCCCGTATGGTGGCAGCTTTTGTAATGACTTCTCTATGTCTCCCGCGGTAGGTGGTGTCAGAGGCCGAGGGGCGGGTCCGCGTGGAGACCAGGAAGACCCTGAGCAGCTTTGTGATCGAGGGGGCGGAGAAGCAGGACGAGGGCCTCTACAGCATCACCGTCTCTAACCCCGCCGGGGAAGACAAGGCCGAGCTCTTTGTCCGGATTGTGGGTCAGAGGCTTTTTTCTCAACCCGTCTCTTTTCTCCATCACATTCCCCTTTTTTTTTTTAAAGCAGGCTACGAGTCGTGAGTCATCCAGTCGAGGCTTAGCGATGATCACGAAATACATCCGTGTCGCTTTAACAACTTGTAGCCTATATTTAAACACGCGGCAGTTGCTGTAAATGCTTGTTAGATAGTTGGCTCCGAGGGTGACTCTGCGCATCACATCTGCATACTCTTTAAATTTAGAACGCCTTCTCCCTCTCTACACTCGCTCCCGTTTTCTCTCCGCTCCGTCGTTCATCACTTTCCGTTTGCGACTGTAACCTGCCTCTCCAGATGTGCCCAACCCTCCCGAGGATGTCAAATGCACATCAGTTGGCGAGGACTCTGCCACGATCACATGGGACCCTCCCTCATTCGACGGCGGCGTTCCCATTAAAGGTACCCTTGAAACAGGCTCACATCTGATGTCTCCCTCCCAGGAGAAAACGGCCGTTTTATGTCTCCTCTCCGTTTATTACAATCATGACGGCCCTCTGAAACGCTTCAAAAGATTTTAAGCTCTCTCCTCTGTGCGTTGAATTTGCCCCACAGGGTACCTGATGGAGAGAAAGAAGGTTGGATCGGCCAGGTGGACGAAGCTCAACTTCGACGTGTACGAGTCCACCGCGTACGAGGCCAAGAAGATGATTGAGGGCGTTCTTTACGAGATGAGAGTGTTTGCAGTCAACGGCATCGGCATCTCTCAGCCCAGCGAAAGCTCAAAGCCCTTCATGCCCATTGGTGCGTTGCCGCGTGTCATTAGCCGAACGAGTAATTACCGGAGACTTTTCCCCGCACGGCGCTCGTTTTAAGGCGGCTTAACCCACCTTCCCGTGCCATTTACAGTGGATATTAGCGCGCTAATCGGGCCCTGTCTCTCTCAGCCCCCACCAGCGAGCCCACTCGCCTCATGGTGGAAGACGTGACAGACTCCACCTGTGCTCTGAGGTGGAGACCTCCAGAGAAAATCGGAGCGGGCGGCATCAACGGCTACATCATCGAGTACTGCAAAGAAGGAAGTAAATACACCAGAGATAGATATACATTCACATTAAGGTGTTTCAGGAAAAATATCAGTTTTAATTCATATGAGTTGGCTGTTTTTGAGAGGATTAAATGAGGCTGGAAGAGTAACGATTAGATTTTAGACTGACTGAAGTGTTTTTAGTAAACATGATTAATTCCTGGTTAACTTCTTGGCAAAGACGGTTGCTGCGTTTGTCCTCTCTCCCTCCAGGTGATCAGTGGGAGCAGGCAAACCAGGAGCCAGTGGAAAAGAACCAGTACAGGGTGAAGGGTCTCCCGGTAGGGGAGAAGATGCTCTTCAGGGTGGTTGCCGTCAACATTGCTGGGAGAAGCCCCCCCGCCACTCTTTCTCAGGCTGTCACCATCAGAGAGATCATGGGTCAGAGACTTACCGGATCCACCGAAATCCTCTTTGAAAATGGTGTCAAATGCCTAAAAAGCACCCATTCCTTGCAGTAAAGCAGGATAAAGGCAAACTCCTAATCACAACGATTTAAAATATATTGATGATTTACATGGGCTGCATGGTGGTTAGCGCCATCTTCTCAAGGCACCAGGGGGCCTTTTTAGCTAATTAATGAATGGATAATATATATATCTGGCAGTGTACGCCACCTAAATGTTGTTCATGCTGTGCATGTTTACATCGACACTCCCCTACGAGGTCAAGTCTTTGACGAGTAGGCTCATCTTTTTCATCTGTCTGTTCTCCACCTCCCAGAGAACCCAAAGATCCGCGTGCCCCGCAACCTGAGATCTAAACTCATCACACGTGTGGGCGAGAAGGTGAACTTGTTTATCCCCTTCCAGGTTAGTCCAAGATTGGCTTTTTTGTGATTTACTGTTCGGCGCTGACAATGTTCGAAGGGGAGCACCGAGAACAAGACAAGATGGTGAATGATTACTGAGAGGGGTTTTTCAAATAGACCCAGTTCCCAGACTCACGCTTCACGCCCCACATAAAACACGCTCCATGTGAAATGTTCAGTTTTTTTTAGGTACATTCCCAACTGAGCCAGAAAAAAAAGGCAGTGATGGATGGTCAGTTCTGGCTGATGTGACTCTGTATTATATCAGAATGCATTTTATCTTTAGTGGTATGGAGGGTGAAAGAATCAAGTACCGGAAAACCCTAATGGCTGCAATCTGACAAAAGCCCTTTACTCCGACTTGGATGCAAATCAGATCTGTAAATGTTGCCCTTAACGCAGGGGAAGATGTGCTTAAAGCGCAAAGTTGCAAATGATGGCGCTGGTGAAAAGAAGCTAACCACAAGTAGCAAAGGGGAACCCGTCATTACACACAAAAGAAATAAAGAAAGCTGTCGCCTGCCTTAAAGCGAAGATGAAGAGCTGATTCTGAGACGGAATATCTGGCAACTTGACGATCACTTGAGAGGAAAGCGCATCCACTGCTCTCTCATCTTTCCTCAGAGTGTCTTTCTAGAGCGGTTCTCACGCTGAAAGATTAAGAAGGAACCAAAGTTTCGACATATTCAACCCGACTAGAGCCTGAAAAGATTTCAGAGGGAACATTTTCCCGCTTACTGCCTCTGTACTAGTCAGTCTGCTGTTTCAGAGGTCTGTATCAGGAAACACTGACCTCTCCTCCCTCTGACTGCAGGGAAAGCCTCGCCCGGTCGTGACCTGGTTCAAAGACGGCGCTCTCCTAGAGGACAAGAGCGTGGGAATCCGCACCAGCGATATGGACACCATCCTTTTCATCCGCTCGGCAGAGAGAAGCCACTCCGGAAAGTACACCCTGCACGTTCAGATCGAGAACATGTCGGACAGCGCTGACATAGAGATCCAGGTTGTAGGTCAGTCCCCCCTCTGACCACTCTGTGGGTTCAGGGTTTGCATGTTTGGACCTCCTGTGGATCTTGCTGATACCGAATAGCTTCTTTTTCCAGTCCTTTTTTCCTAAATCTCATATGTGGATGAGCTGTCTTCACCTGTTGAAGCTTATGAGGAACCATGAACTGTCCCTTAAGCCTCACGGCGATTAGCGCGCGGTTAATGACCCTTTTGGAGGGGAAATGGAAACGTTTGAGCTCAAATCTGTGACATGTCAGGGATTTTTTTTTTCCTTTTTTGAATTCGACGATAATTCCTCATTTCATTCTCCCGAGGGATCTGCGAGTGGAAGTGAGGGAAGCATCAAAGAGCTCATTCCTCCCCCCCCCCGCGTAATACTCCCTCCTGTGCTGCCACGGCTCCTTCCCCATCTTACGGCGCGTCTCAGTGGGTCGGAGTTCCGGGTGGATTATTTAGCGGGGCTCCGCTCAGATTATTTGCGCGTAGACCCGGATTACGTTTGGATTTTGAGGGCTACTCTGTCACTTACTCTGCTGAGAAGGTTGAGCTAATGAGAGGCTATGATCACCCCTAAACTCTCTCAGTTGATCTGTTTGAGCGTAAGGGATAAAAAATAAATAAAATACTGTGCTCAGAACAAGACACATGACGAACCCTTCACTGCGTTGCACCCAATCTGTGGACCACACAGAAGAATCACAAAAACACGCGGCTTTCTTCTCCTCTGTAATCCAGCCGTGAAAAGCAGGCTGTCTGTGTTCGTCAGATCGGTGCCAGCAGTTTTCGAGCAACGCATTCATCCACCCCGCCTTTTTTCTCCGTCGCTTTTATGCCACGCTTTGCTAATCTGTCAATCTTTCCAATCTGTCTAATCTGTCAAATCTATAGCAACGTGTGTGTTGACGTCTTTCTCTCAGAGGGATTTCCCAGCCCCAGATTTGTACCTTTCTCCTCTTTTCAACCCCGAACAGCCCCTCGGCAGCATTTAAATCTAGACAGGGATGATAGCTGTGCATGGGTAGAACACGTATTCATCTCACTCGAGCTATCCATTCAGGTTCAGACTAACCTGCTTTGTTTTTTAGCGAAATCCTCTAACTATTTGACTCCGTCTCCCTGAAATCCTACCAGAAAAGCCCGGGCCTCCTGTCAGCGTGCTGGTCACAGATGTCTGGGGCTTCAATGCTGCGTTGGAGTGGAAGCCCCCCAAAGACGACGGCAACTGTGAGATTATCGGCTACACCATTCAGAAAGCTGACAGGAAGACCAAGGTATGCAGCACACAGGAAAAAAGTCCCTCACAGGTAGCCATATCAGAGGTACGGGACCCAACAATGGCCAAAACCTCTGGTTCACCGTCTGCTTATGCTGTTCCTATTCCCTAAATACTCTAAAATATTACACACAGTCTCTAAACTTTGCATCCCACGACATCCTCCGGTACAGATGCGCTTTTAAAGTTGACTTTTTCTGAGGGATGCACACTCCCCCCCCCCCAAACTGTGCTTGCTAAGGTGGCATTTAGGCAGAGGTCAGTCCTGTGAGTGGGCGTGCAGTTGGATCCTTTCATTCATATTCTGGCCGGCCGACACGCTGCAGAAATCCTTGGAATAGAAATCCTTGAAAGGGTCAGACAGCCTTGATGGAATATGGAATTGGATGATAGATCTGGAGAAAAAAAAAAGAATATTAAATAAAGCAGAGTATTGTAAATAAATGGTGAGTGTTAAATAACGCAGTCGGCATCAAGTCTGTAAAACACAATTCAGTTTAATGCAGCTGCATTTCAAATGAGTGTCGTTGGTAAAGTAAAAGCAGTTAGGGGGAGGGGTTTGACATATATGAGCTGGGTCAGGTAGGAAATCCTTTTCACAAACACCTGCCGGAGCACAAGGCTCACTTCAATCACTCTGTAGGTTCTCAGATGTCCGCCTCAGCCAGAAGTCTCTGCCAACCTCTGCTTTGTCTCTCCGACATCAGGATTGGTTCACGGTCTACGAGCACAACCGCAGGCCCAGCTGCACCGTGTCCGACCTGGTCATGGGGAACGAGTATTCCTTTCGAGTGTTCAGCGAAAACATCTGCGGCCTCAGCGACGACGCCGGGATTAGCAAGAACACAGCTGTCATCACCAAAACAGGTAAAGGAGCTCCCAACTGCACCATATTTAGCAAAAAGGCAACTAAAAAATACAAAGTTTATACACAAAGTGAGCATTATGATACAGATACTGACTCCAGGAGCACGTCAGGAGTGCTGATTAACACAGAAAATCTCAAAAACCTTTCTATTTGTATGGATTAATGACTCAAACATATACCTTTTTTAATTAAAAATCACCACACGGTTGTTACACTGAAAGGAAATATCGACAAAGTGTTGAATACTGGCTGCAGATCATGAAAGCGACCGGGGAAATTAGCACCTGCCACCAGCCAAATATTTCCCCTGCTTTTCCTTTTGTCGCTACGATTGCTTACTCCAGCGGAAAAAATGCTGCAACCCACTGGCCGCTATCTTTCGTGTTCCCAACCAACAATCTGGCCGGCGACGTTGCGAGGATCGTTGATCACGGGGGCCCCGCATAACCTCGGGATAAAACAAAAGTCAGACCCCTGCCTCGATAATTCAAAGGGCAATCTGCTAATGTAGATAAATGGCCCCCGTGGCAGGATGTGGGGAAGATGTTAAAGGCAGAACGAGCCCAGAACGGCAGAGAGCGATTACAGTCGGTTACTAATTAAGCTTTAACACATCTCATCTGCAAATTTAACTTGTTAAATGCGATTGTATGGAAGCGGAAAAGATGGATGGAGCCACCGGTTGCGAAACGGGAGGCAAACGAGCACGCAGGCCTTCTTGCTGTGTGTTGCCTCACGAGTGTTTGGACTGCTAAACAGCTGCAATTTAATGAAATAAGTGACAGCCTCCTCTCCAGTGACTTCCCCCATTTTAGTAGAAATCCACTCCTGGTTGCAACATGCAAAAAAAAAACCTTGAAATTGCCAACATTTGCTCTGTTATTTCACTTTGCACCCGCTCTCGGGTCAAATTCCAATGAAAATTGGGTTCATGTTGAGAAATCCAGTGCAATACCAGGCTGGCTCCGGAACAATTCTGCCTCCTATGAACTCTCATTCCAAAAGCATCAACTGGGCTCAGCGTTATTTTTTTTTATCACACCTTCCGAGTACGAGAGCAACGTGAAGATGAGTGTCAATTTCAGTCTGGATGTGGAAGCGAAATTAGGTCTAATCTTCGGCCATTTATTTTAAGCATCGTCTTTCTTTGAATATTACATTATACCCCGGAGCACACATCTCTTAACCCACCCATAAGTGAAAGAGGTCTCATTTTTCACTGTGGAAACAAATGGAGTGTGTTTCCACTCCCATCATATTAGACCAAGGGTGGTTTTCACAGGGTTTTCATACCTCCCACTTTGGTGTCTGCTCTGCCTGTTCTGAGCTGCTTTTTGAGCTTCATCTCCATGGTCCTCATCTCCTTCGTGTTCATTTAAAGGACTTTTGCATCCCTAACTTTTGGGTCACCGGCGGTGAGGTGGTGTGATGTGAGAAAGCCTGGGTTAGCTAGTGAAAGGCACCCCTTGTTGTGTTGGCCGATAGTTTTATTTTCCTCACAGCAGGACATGCTTACTCAAAGACCTCTCCTCCCCTTTAGGTCTGGTTCATAACCGCTCACCCTACAAAGAGAAGGACATGAGCTGCTCCCCCAAATTCACCGCTCCTCTGGTGGACAGAAGCGTGATCGCTGGTTACTCTGCGGCCATCAGCTGTGCCGTCCGCGGATACCCCAAGGTACCAACGAATATAGTAATACACAGTTTATTTATAGAACACGTTGCATTAGAAAAACCTGCTCAACCATCATACAAACACTCATACTAAAGGATTCATAAAAGAATAGAATCAGACACAGTCTGAAAAGTGTAAACAGCCTCTGGATGGAGGTAAAGTTTTGCTCCATTTAGCTCTTTCTCTCCAGTTTTGTTTGGTTTTATATATATATATTGATGTACATGTTTAATATATTTAGATAAACCTCTGTGGAAAAGTGGGTAAAGCGTAATTTTTCAGTTTAAAAAATATTTTTTCTGTCTTACGTTTTTGTATTTTTAAGATGGGAGCTGGTACGAAATTCTAAAAGTACAAATCAATTTGCCGAATGTAAAAGTCAATAAAAAGTTAACTTGCCTTTGAGCTCGTTCTCTGGTTTGTAACTGTTATGTAAACACTGGGCAAAGAAACAGCGATGCGGCGCTAGAATTCAGGCATGAAAGGTGTAATGTGCTTTGCTATTTTATTGAATCCATGGAGGGAAATGCCAAAGTGTGGCTTCCAAATACAAATGCTGCACGCTAAAGCCCCGCAGCAGCATCCCACATCCACATTATCTGCACCGGTTCCTGAGAGCTGAGCTGCAAGGGTACGCCTCAGATTTCACGCTTTGCCTTCTTTTTTACAAAGAGCGAACAAGTTTAGAGTGTCAAACAGGGAGTGGAGAACAATCAGACGATTTGGATTCCTTTGCAATAGGAGTATATTTTTACGTCTGAAGCTAGAACAAGAGGTGGAGCTGGAACATTTTTAGCGACACGCTTCTTTTTCATCCCGCCGAATTGGCAAAGATTTGTCGAGCCCGAATGTTGACCTAATTTCACCTCTCCTTCTGCTCCCCGCCCCACATCCTTCATTCCGTTTGTACTCTCCCGCCCGCTCCCCTCCCCTTTTTTTTATCTCTTCATCCTGCCCATTCCGTCTCCCCCTTCCAACGCACTCTTCCTCAGCCAAAGATCATTTGGATGAAGAACAATATGATGATTGAAGGCGATCCCAAGTTCCTGATGCAGAACAACCAAGGCGTGCTGACTCTGAATATCCGCAAGCTGAGCCTGTTCGACGGGGGCCGATACTCCTGCAAGGCTGTCAACGAACTGGGGGAGGACCTGGTGGAATGCAGGCTGGAAGTTCGAGGTGTGCAGCCTAAATTTCTCCTCCCTTTACAACACATTAGTGGAACAATGAGAGTCGGTTTAAGTCTCAATAGGAATCTCAAATCTCCATCTCCTCCTTCTAATCGACCTTTTTCTTGGGCTCTTGTTCGCAGTTTAACCCTATAATGCCAAATGTGTCATATTTGATTCATACGGTTTCTGAAGTCTTTTGGATCTGAAACTTTTTGCATCATTCAGTGGTAAAAGCTTTGCTCAAACCCCTGTTGTACACATGCAGATATACCTGATAACAGCCAGTAGAAGACTACACCAAAATATATGTTTGACTTATTGCATACTAATTTGATCAAAGTAATTTCTGTTTTTTTTCTTCATATGTTGTTGAGGGGCCAAAGAAAAGCTTCAGACTAAAAAAAAATCCAATATTCTTCCTATTTTTCTTGAATCAGGCTTTAAAGGGTTAACCCTTTTCTGGACTAAACTTGAGTCGTTTTCTTATAGGCTGCATGATGGAGCTTCTTCACACGGGTTTATTGGCCAGTGTTTCGTGCTGAACTGAATTTCTTTCCCTCCACAGTTCTTCAGGAGAAAGCGGAAGAGGCCAAGAAATGAGAAACACCGCGAAACAGCAGAGGATTCAGTCAAACACCGATAGTGATGGATTATGTATAACGGGATAGTCATGAATAAATATGATTAGAGTAGATCACTGGTGAGGCTCTAAAGCCACTCCCCCCCCCCACCCCCCTCCCCCACATAAGCATGCCTTTCATTGCCGCCCTGACGAATGCCACATACGTAGGGACTGGGCCGTAAATTCTCGGGGTGAGCCTCCACCCTGCTGCATCCTCACCGGGACGCCACATAAGTGTGACCACACACAGACGGATCCTCCTCATCTGTGAAGTGGACCTGTCCACGTTACACACTCATAAAGCAGCCTGTCATCCATTACGGCTCCCCGTGTCGTCTGTTACTTTGCCCGGTCCCGGTATTTTATTTTATTTTTCAGTATGAAGTTCTGATTGCGATGCAGCCGAGGCCGACCTGCCGAACACCCCCGCCTCCCCGCCGCGGCGTTACCGGGGGCGACGCGTCTCGGCCAGGCCACGGTTCACTGGAGGGATCAATATTCAGTCAGGCATGGAAGACATCATGGAGTAACCGGGATTAAAGAGATTCTCGTACACAGATGCCACCGCCGTCTACTGACACACACACTCACACACACACACACACGCACACTCACACACAGTGTGTGTTGACACACAGGCGAGCTCTCTTTGTATTGCATCCTCCCGTGGTCTAATACTACATTCCTCGTGGCATGACCTATAGTGGTAGGCCCCTTTACAGATACATGACTCGCACTCATGCAAACACAAACACACACTCCAAATCAGGGTCTCATTAGCATCCCCACACTAGAGACTAATTAATGCACCCATCAACACTGCCCTAATTAGCTCTCCCACGTCATTACTGAGCAAACGAATTACCGCTAATTTACACACCCGCAAAAACAAACACGGCCCCGTCTCTGCCGGGGAGAGTCGGCGTGGCTCACCAAATTAGAGCCTCGCCGACGCGCCGCGGCCCAGACTGGCATCCCAAGTGACCCCGCGCTCACGCACCCCCCCCCCAACCCCCCCCCCCCCGCCAACCCAGCCCAAGAAGGTCTGAGAGGAGAAGCTAGCTTAACTTTTTTCTCTCTCTCGGGTGGTTTTTTGTGAGAGAATTCCTCTCCCTTTTGGCTCTGACCTGTCCCAGAACCACCCCCTCAGGTGCCGGTCTCTTGTGTCTCTCCAGTAGAGGGGGTAAGAACACAGTGACAAACGCCACAACTGACCACCATTAGGGTCCGCGCGGTCTTTCAGAGTGGCGGCTCATTAGAAACCGCTACGTTACCCAACCACCGTCGATGGGAAGCCTGAGCCTGAAGGCCTCCGAAAAAGTGCCGGCACCAAATCTGAAACACACTCCGCACCACCGAGCACGGCGCACTGGATTTGCCTCCTTTGCACTGCGGCATGATGGTAAAGATCGGTGGAGATGGGATTAGGACGCACGGGCAGATAAAGCCGGGAAATCCCTCCAGATACTGACAAGCAGGCCATGATTGGCTGCGCAGCGAACCTGCAGTGCAGTAAAAAAAAAAGCTCAAATTCGAAACCCCGCCGCGCCGCAAACGACTCTGCAAGCGTGTGTCTGTGCGCGTGTCTGTGTTGATACTGATGTAATCTCGTTGCCAGAGAGCTGGAGTTACAGTTTGATGTGTTCCCTCCGCTGATTGACACATGAAAGCCGAGCAAGAAAAAAAAACGCTCCACGCACGCGCGGAGGTTTGAGGGAGAAGACAGCGTCTAACCTCCACACTCCACCTGAGTTCTGCCCTCTCTCCTGCCTCTCTTAAAAGTGATGCTCAGTTGCTTAGCAATCATAATAATTATATCCACCGGCGCAATCCGCCAGCCTTTAGAAACTTTTAAAACATGAGAAAGTGCTGGTTTTACGGTGTTACCGTCGCCGTTCAGCCGCCTGCTTTTCTCTCACACAACAGTTTAGATCACTTTAAGAAAGATGTCAAAAGACAAAAATAATTGAGCATTTTAACCCCCCCCCCTCCCCATTCCCTGTGACAAACCTGGAGGCTCCTCTAGTCTGAATACTCAATGAGGAGGAATTGCAGCTGCGGAGCAAAGCCACAACTTCTTCTTGTGTGATGTACCTGCTGCCTTCCAATATTAGAACAGGTCTGCCTGAGACGGGGATGAAAGACAGTGAGAAGTCTCACCACCTGGAAAATGGAGAGCAAAAAGAAACACAAAAAAAACCCGTGGCAGACTCACAAAGGCGTGAGTGCTGTTATGTCCGTGCGTGGATGTGTGAGCGCTAAAGACAGAGAAACAAGAGATACCACAGACAGAAACAGTCCTCCTGAACCGGTAGGATAGAGGGAACTGTAATTATGCAAATAATTATACGTGAAATCACAGACTTGGAGTGAAAAAATAGACCACTGGAGGGAAAGAGCCTTGCAGTGAGTGTCATCTGTGTAATTATAGTATAGGAACTAAATCAAATAAAGGGAGAACGCACACGTATCATATAGGCTCGCTCCACATAGTTCATCTGTTCTGTGCACAATTTGGTGAACTCACTTTGGAGTTTAAATGTATCCCATCAGAAGTGTCATTTCTGTGTCAACAAAACAAGAAAGACACAACACCCAAACGTCTATTCCATGTTCCACTCTGGGGCCTAACACACGAAAGAAATAGAGAAAATGAGAAATCTCCTTACCTTGATAGGTAAGCTGTGGACACATTTTCCCACAAATGGTGAAATCACAAAGAAATGCTGCACATCCAGCAGGAGATAAGAGTTTTGTGTAATAAGTTGGTTTGGTCTAGCTCTTGAAACTACGTTCAGAAAGATGCTAAACTCAGGGGCAGCAAGCCCGTAAATAGATTTCTCCTTGCTCTTAACTGAGCAACCTTTGCTGTCAGAGTGTAAAACAGCCAGGTAAATAGTGAAGTAACAGCAGAAAATGCTGAAAAAAAAACAACCTTTATCAAAGAAAAGATGCTCATGGGCTGTGGTTGTTGTTCCCTTTAGCATAAAACACAGCAAACGTTGTTTGTGCATATGAAAGAGCCAATGCTTTCGCTGTAAAATAGAAAAATACAGTTATATTTAAACATTTATTAAGACCTTATAAAGACATTGAATCAAAAACACGAAGTTCTCTTAAAGCAACAAAAAAGGCGAATATTGTCACGTCTGGTGTCTCGTCATGTCTTGATTACCTATTGTGTACACCTGGGGTTCCCCTCCCTCATGTGTTTAAATAGTCCTGTTTCCCCTTGTCTGGCGCGAGTGCGTTTTCGTCTCTTGTCCTTCTTGTCCTTTCGTCCGTCTTGTCCATCGTCACCCCCACGCCAGGTTTGTTTTCGTCATAGTTCTGCCACAGTCATAGTCACAGTTTTGCCTCAGTTTTGTTAATCGTTATTTTGTTACTTTGCCTCAGTCTTGTTTGCTTATTGCTTTCTTACTTTGCTCACAGTTTTCCACAACTTTGCTTTGTACTTTGTCTGGACTCTGGTCTTTTGTTACAATAAACCTTGTTTTCCCTCATCTCCGCAACTGAGTCCCCTTCAAGACCCCCCTCATGACAAATATTTCAAATCATGGAAAGTTATTCCAACCTGAATGAAATCTTAATTTGAATTCCACAGCCAAATCTTTTGGAATAAAGAAATTAGGATATTTGTAGTGGAATGAGCTCATATGAGGGTGTAAATCAGATAAACCTCTTTTCAAATGCAAAGGACAAAATAGATTAAATCATTTTTAAAAAACTACCCCCCTCAAAGTGAACCTCATGTAAAATACCATCAAAATTCATGTGAACGTCTCAAAATAGACATAAAAAAATGGTAGTCTTCGAGTCTCTGCTGTTCCTTTTACACACAAAGGTATTTATTCTTCATCTCTTCTGGTCAGTGTGGTTAGCTCTATTGAAAGCCGGCATGACTTATACGCTGTGTCATTGTAGCCATTGATTGAGGAGTCCAAACCCTCTCTGGGCTCATGACCCATATAATGAGCGCAATGCATCTGCGGGGAGGTGGAAGTATCGAAGGAGGAAGCTGCCCCTCACATTTCATAATGACGACTTTATAACCGCATGTGTCTGATGTCTATGCTAACGGCGACTTGCTGGGGTTGGACTCCGTGAGGTGAAGAAGGATCTGAGCTACGCTGAAAGAGTCAAGAGGGTTAAAGCCAATGTGCTGAAGCAAACTGAAATCTCTTTTTCATGTAAAAATGACTAAATCCATCCATTATCTATACCGTTTATTCTTAGTAGGGTCGAGGGGAGCCTATTCTTGCTATCATTGGTCCAGAGGCAGGGCACACCCAGGACAGGTCACCACTCCGTTATGAGAGCACACAGAGACAAACAACCACACACATTCACATGAACTCATAGGGGCAATTTAAATCGTTCCACTAACCCTACACGCATGTTTTTGGATGGTGGGAGGAGGCAGAACCCACGCAGGCACAGAACATGCTAACCCCACACACACAGAGAGAGGCCCCCGGACTCTGACCGTGTGTGAAGTGTATTTTCCGGGAGAAGTGCTTGTTTGCTACACCTGCGGCGAACCAATTCTACGGGGTTGTGTGTAATTTGTGTAACCATTTACGTGAGCACCCTGCACACGTCGTTAGGATAGCTGCTACCCGCTACAGGAGATGGGCTAAATTGACTGAGCGGGCTGACTAGAATTTCCTGTGCGGCTATGGCTCGATGAGAAAAAGACATTACGTCCCATTTTTTGGGCGTAAAAAGGGTAGCCCACACCTCCTACGATCTTTATTTAAAAGTGAGACCGGATTCAGTTAATGTACCTTTCGTTTTTCGGTACATGGGTACAGATTTTGGCGTTAAAGTCTAGGTATGCGTCTCTTCTCTTGGGTTGAGGTATGGCTAAATCTTCGTCACGACCCTTATGACCGGCAAGATGCACTTTGGAACAAGCCGCTAAAGCGGAGCCGAAAGGGTTATGGTGGGAGCCTCTCTCTCAGCGCCATAGATCAGAACAAGCAGCTCCAACCGGCGAGGCGTGACATTTCATTTGTGAGAGCAGGTGAATGTCCCAGTCTGAGCCGATGTTGTATTAAGCCCCGAAATAACACAGCAAGCGGTCTTTTCTGGAGCTCCCGGGTCCCTGGGTGGAGCAGATAGAGCAGATCCCGTGACAGGAAAAGGGAGAAACGTGGAATACTCGAAGAGGAATTGCCAAAGCCG